TTTAAGACCCCAGACGTTATATCTTTTGATAGCAGGGCACCATCAGCTTTCTTCACCACATTTGCTTATGCACCCATTTGAGACTAAATATTTAAGGGAGAAAAAGACTCACCTTTCTTCTGCAGAGAGCTAACGTGTTTAAACTGTTGGCCTTGTGGTGAAGAGACCAATGTTTAAACCACACCACCACCAGGGCTCCTTCCATCAATAAAACACATGATTGCTTTTGAGAAAAGCCTTGCCCAGATTGCTCTGATTTAGACTCGCTTTATTTACATATATCCCCTTATACTTTTTTCTTTTCCCAGCTTAATTTTATGTACTTCAAAGTCTTAGGTTGTCTTATATCTGTATCTAGCATGACAATCATCTTAGTATGTACTTAGAATGTAATGGAGAATTAATTGATTTAATTAATGTTCAATGTAAAATCTTATCTGTCATCCCATAGAACGTTTAGATAATATGACCATTACAAAGCAAAAAAAGGAAATATGTAAGTAAAAGAAATAGCAACAATTGGTTATCTGGGTGGCATCAAATTAAATTAAGTACAAGATTAATCTTGAGGACTAATACTAAATGTAATAAAGTATGTATTATGAAAATAAATGTCTATATTCACCTGTAGTTTGGGTCCAGGATCTTTGCAGAAAATACATATATTCCAGAATGGTCCAATGGCCAAATTATGTAGTTATTATTAGAGCTGTTAATAATTTCATATGGTTGATTCAAGTCTCCTGGTTTTCCAACAGCATGAGAAAAACAATGCTTATAGTTCTGAATAGGAAATAAAGAAAAAGTCCTAAGGTTATCTCCTTATTTTAACATGCAAAAGTATGCTCGCCTATATTTTTCTTGCCAAATTACAAATGTAATGGATATTCCCTCTTAGAGTACCATTTCAGTGCTTTATAGCAATTTTAGGAGTTACGTAAATTTAAAATTTGCTGAAAAGTGTAATTTAGTAAAAGCAATTCCTTTTTGGGATCAGGTGTAAGGCATCATCAGAACAAAAAATCTTACCATAGTGAATGATGGGGGGAGTGTGGAGTGGAGATCCAAAGCCCATTAGTAGGCCACTGGAGATCCCCTTGCAGAGGGGTCTTGGGGAGGAGATGAGCCAGTCAGGGTGCGATGTAACAATGATGAGAAATACAACCTTCCTCTAGTTCCTAAAGGTTTCCTCCCCGCTCCCACTACCATGACTCGAATTCTATCTTGCAAGACTGGCTAGACCAGAGGAGGTACACTGGTACAGATAGGAACTGAAAATACAGGGAATCCAGGATGGATGAGCCCTATAGGACCAGTGGTGTGAGTGGCAAAACAGGGAGGGTAAAGGGAGAACGGGTAGGAAAGAGGGAACCGATTACATGGAACTGTGTGTGACCTCCTCCCTGGGGGACAGACAACTGAAAAGTGGATGAAGGGAGAAGTCGGACAGGGCAAGATATGACAAAATACCCATTTATAAACTATCAAGGGCTCATGCGGGAGGGGGGAGCGGGGAGGGAGGGGAAAAATGAGGACCTAATGTTGGGGGTTTAAATGGAGAGAAAATGTTTTGAGAAATGATGTACAAATACGCTTTACACAATTGATGTGTGTATGGATTGGGATAACAGTTGTATGAGCCCCTAATAAAATGTTTAAAAAAACAAACAAACAAAAAAACATTCCTTTTTGTTTGTTTTGTATTTGTAAACAATAATACACTAATGAGTCGAGAGTAGTGCTAGGGGAAAAAAAGATCCCAGATCCAACCATATTCTTTTAAGTCTTAGACAGGGCAAAGGCAATTGTGATAGTTAGGCTTTGTGTCAACTTGCCTTGTCCAAGATTCTCAGTGGTTTAGCATTTAAGGTGTAGTAATTTCCCATGATACTATATAGCACAATGTAATCAACTGATTCAAGTGGAATGCAACCCCTTGACTCTGTCCACAGGCCTGATGCAATTGAAAGGAAGTTTCTTCAGGGGTTTGGTCACTTCCTATATAAGTGGACACTCCTGTAAAGCCTATTTGCTTTTTGCTGAGTTTAGATCCTTTATTTGGCTTGTGCATCTCCTCTTCTTTGGACGTGAGCTTATCAGATTGCCTGTCAATCCTGGGAGTCATCAATGTCCTACTATCTGATCTGATGACCCTGGATTTATTCACCTCTCCAGTCACACACCTGACCTGATGACCTTGGATTCATTTGCTTCTACAGCCACCAGCCTCTGGTGTTCTGGCCACTCTTGGGTTCATCAGCCCTAAAGCTACATAAATAGGGACAAGCTTCCAGTTTAACATCTGACCCATGGTCGTGGAACCTGTCTGGACTCAGAGTACTCATTCTGTTTCTACAAGTGTGTGAGCCGTTTTCTCGCTTAAAAATTTCTCTTTCTTAATATATCAATGTCACTAATATGCTTCTTCAGAGAACTCAGCCTACATTAATAAGCATCCTAGATAAGGGACACCATCAGCATGCACACAGTTAATACAGAAATGAAATGGAGTTTGCTGGTTCATGGCCATAGGGATAGAATTCCAAAGCATAATCTACTATGTCCCCAGGACTCCTCATCCTGAACTTATATACGCGCAATTGATGGCCTGTGCTACAGCCAGCCCCTGGCCTTGTTTTGGCTGTTTATATTGAGCTTCTCTGTCACCTCTTCTCATAGGTTTAATCAATTTGATTTCTATGCATTCCATCTGGAGAAGTCCACATGTATAGTTCCCTTTTGTGTTGTTGAAAAAAAAGTATTTGCAAAGAAGAAGTCTTTAGTCTTGCAAAATTCTATCATATGCACTCCAGCTTTATATCAGATTTTCCAACTATCGTTTCTTCCTCTTTGTCTCCAACTTTTTCATTCCAATCATCAATTGTTATCAATACATCATTGTGTTAGGTCAGGTAGACTAGATAAACAAATTCAGCGACACATTTATGTGTAGGAGAAAGCTTTATACCAAGATGTAATTGTATATCAAGAAAGTATCTCAGCCCAGTCCATATCAAATCCTTAAGTCCAATACTAGTTCATAAATTGCTTGTCAGATGAATGCTGCTGCATGCAATGCTGCTGCATGCACAGGCCAGTGGGTGCAAAGTCCTGTAGATCCAATGACAGTGGAAGCATCTCCAGGGCTCTCGCAAGTCTCAGTGTGGCTGCATGTGGCTTGTCAACAGGAAGGTGGAGCAGAGAGAGAAAGGAGCCGGCTTCCAGGTGCCATGTATCTCCGTTGCCCTCCAATCATGCTGTGACCTGATTGGCAGGCTACATTCCACTCATATGTTCCCATGCGAGCCATGTTGACACACAAAAAACCCTATCACAGTCATGATTGCACATTTGATCGATTTCAGATTGCAGATGTTGGTAAAATTCTTCAGTTTTTCCATTACTAGCTCTAAAGCTTGGTGTGTGTGTGTATGTATATATATATTGGATTTCTTTGTATACGGATACATATCTTATCACAAACAGCATTGAACTTCAAGAGAGATCTCGAAATGTTTTACTTGACAATGAATGAGACATCATCCCTCTTTCCTTTGTCATTCCTGGCATAGTAAACTATATGACTATCATATGCAAAAGCATCTTCTTTTAGCTCACTAATGCCTAGGATATTTATCTTTATGTTTTCTAGTTCATTTTAAGCTACTTCCAATTTTTCCAGATTCATAGGTTGTACATTCCAAATTCCAATTATTAATAGATGTTAGCCATTTCTTTTGATTTTGTATTGTGCCCCATTAGTGAATGAAGATCCTTAACTTCATCCACATCATTAAGTTTGACTCTAGTTTGGGGAGGCAGCTCTTCCTCAGTCATATTTTGAGTGTCTTCTGATATGAGAGCCTCATCTTCTGGCACTATATCTGAAAATGTTTTGCTGATATTCATTAGGTTTTAACCTTCTGACAATATTCCACTGCTATTCATAAGGTTTTGAGTGTCCACTTAGAAGTGGTCAGTTTCTTCTTTCTTTGTTTGTCTTCTCTTCTTAGTCTGGAAGCTCTGCTGAAGCCTATTCACTTTGATGACTGTCCAGCATCACAAGGGCAAACAAGCCACCACAGTATGACAAACGGACAGACAGATCATGCCTGTCATTATTGTGTTTAGATGGTGATCTTGATAAACTCTAGGAGGTAACTTACTGTTTTCTACTCTATTCCCAGCCAGATACACAGTGGCTGGTAAACTAATGAAATTTGTTACATAAACATTGAGCCTTACTTTAAACCTTTGTTAAAGTTTACACTTGACCACAAGCTACAACCTCTTTCTCTTAACCAAAGTCAAATGACCTCTGATACATAGGTCTCGGGTTGTATCTCTCCATTCACTAAAAATTTTGCCAAGCGTTCTATTTCTGATCTACTCCACATTTATTTACCATCATTCGGTGTATTAGGCAAGCATACCTTTGCTTCTCTGGAACCCATTATATTGATCATCATCATCCACAGACTTTTCTCTGAAATTTTTTAAGATGGCTTTATTCAGGTGTGAGGTACAGTTTGATTATCCCTGCCTTCTCTTGTCTCCAAAAAGCCAAACTCACTGCCCTTGACTTGATTCTGACTCACAGTGACCCTATAAGACCGGACAGCACTGCGCCTGTAGGTTTCGGAGACTGTAACTCTTGATAGAGTATACAGTCTCATCTTTGTGTGAGGATATAGGCTCTTATCCCACTTACTGTCCAATAAACAACTCTTCTTTATTTCTCTTCGGAGATAGCATTGCCATCAAGGTCCATAGCTAATATGACATGGAGTTGTTAATTCTGACTCTCGGTGATTTTCTCAATGCAGAGTAGACCTGCTTCCTAGGGTTTTCAAGGCTGCGACCTTTTAGAAGCAGATTGTCAGGACTGCCTTGGGAGTGCCTCTGTGTGGGCTTGAACTGGCAACCTCTTCCCTAGCAGTCTAGCACTTCACCGTTTGTGCAATCCATGGATTCCTAATGTATCACTATGACCTCAAACAAAATAGGATTCCAGCACTAACTCTTCCTGAGAACAGTGTATGTAGATAGTTGCTTTATGTATGTCTGTGTGGGATATAGAAAGATTCCTCCCAAGTTGTCTCTCCCAAATATATGCCAAACCTAGCTGCTTGCTACACATGGTAAATGACTATACACTTGGAGGTCAATGAAAGTAGGTCAGAGGTTAGTCTCCTTAAGGGTTATCAGTCATCTAGAGCAATCAGACTGTAGTCTGTCCCACCCTAAGTAGGGCCCACTCGCTTCTGATAAGGAAACAATAATAGATTGTTTCCCTGAAGGAGAGCCAAAGGAGGTCAAGCCCACTCAAGGATGACCAAGGTTAGGCTGCCATACTGAGTCTAGGGTCCGCCCTTCTTGTCACATGTATACCCCTAGTCCCACACCTTCCTACTACAGGTACACCCCTAGCTCATCCCCTTCGTCATGCTTATGCCTATTGTACATCCCCTTCCTGTGACTTGTGTGGTTACCTGTAATCATGCCCCTGAAGTATATATGGGCCTTGTCCAGAAATAAAGAGACCCTTTCCTGCCCTCTCTGTCCGCGCTGTGCTCGGACCTGGCTGTTGAGACCATGTTTGTCCAGGAGGTGAGCATACTACCACGGAATTGTCTGACTCTTTCATTTTCCTCTCTCTCCTATCTCTCTGTGATTTAACTAGAATCTTTATATATCTTAACCGTACAATTGCGCCTACTGAACCCATGATTAGTTGTGGAGGGCTGGCTTTCCCCACATGTATGTATGTCTTTTTGGTCTGCAGTATTCATGACTATTCCCAACAATACCCCGATTCTTTCTCCTTTTGGCCGTTATCATAGTGAAAGGGTAATTCCAAGTTCCTCCCTTCCATGCCAGAAACTGTCAGACTCAGATTTTATTTTTCTCCCTGTTCTATGATCTACCTGTGGGTGAGAGCTGAGCAACTCATAATATAAATTCTGTCAATCCAAAGTTCTGTCCTAGGATTTTGAATTAGGAACGAGGAATACAACTATGGGAAAATGCAAAGATGATTCATTGTAGTTGCATTAGGATGAAGAAAATTATTTGGAATAATAAAATTTCAGACTTAATAAACCTATAATAACTACTTCAACAAATATTTATTGAGTACAGTGAACCCTCGCCACTTCGCGCTTCGACTTCCGCGGCTTCACTCCATCGCGGTTTTTGCGTAACAGTGCATGCTCTGTCATTACTGCCACTGATTGGCTCATACTGTACACGCTTGATGCCATAAATAATATAAAAATAATAAATGATAATTGTAACGTCCAAAATGTTTTACTGTATTTTCCCTTTTTCGTTTAATAAATTGGGTAATACGAGTGTAATGGTGACTAAAGGGTGTTTTTTCATGCCCTCTATGCTCTAACTACGAAAATATTTGATTTACAAATAAGGAATCCTACTTCGCGGAATTTCATTTATCACGGTCATTTATCACGGTAGGGTCTAGAACCGATTAACCGCGATAAACGAGGGTTCACTGTACCTACAATAGGTGAGTACTGGGAATACACATCAAACAAAATAGGAAAAAAGAAAGAAAGAAAAAATCAACCCTAAAATAAAAACCTGTCTTCATGTAGCTTACAGTCTAGGGGGCCAGGTTATATGACTGATATGTAGATGTTGAAATATGTCAGATAATTATTAATAATATTGATAGAAAAAATAGGGAAAGGGTGTGTGTACATCATGGGTAACAGTTTAAATTTTTGTAGAGTGTTCCAGGAAGTCATTATTGCCTAGTTAATTTCTAAGACCTGCAGAACTAAGGAAGCTATAGGCAGCATATTTTGTCGTGGTTGGCATGTGAAATGGGAACCACTCTAGTATTTTGATCAGAGGAGTCATATGTTCTTACTATGTTTTGTTAGGATCACTATGGCTGCTTTGTTGTGAATTAATTCAAGGGGGTAGGTGGGTAAGGCTGAAGCAGAGAGATCAATTAAGAGGCTGCTGTATCATAACCCAGATGATAGGTGATGGTAACTTGAAGCAGACTGGTGGCAATGGGGTTTGAGAGTAGTGACAAAATTCAGAATGTTCTTTGGAAGAAGAGCCAAAAGATTATCTATCTGGAAGATCAAATGTGGTGCATAAGATGATACCTAAAGGCATTTATCATAAGTAAATTGGAAATATGAAGTTTCCATTAACTCAAGTGGGGAACAATGTTGGAGAAGCATGTTCAATGAATGTTTATTATAAACTCAATTTTAGACATGTTAAATTTGAGATGTTAAATAAAGTATCATTAATCCCCCTTTTTATTGGAACGCTCTTATTAGCATGTACTTGGTTGTTTATCTCAATTTACTTTAAAAAAAAAAGGCACTTTCAGTCCATTACTCTCTGGCTACTGTACAATCTCTCCTCTTTACCATAAAGCTCTTAATCAGGTATCTGTACTTACGGCTTCCAATTTTTTATTGCATACTTAATCAAACCCAGGTTAGCAAGGTTTCTTCCTCTCATAATTTCACCAAAACTGCTCTTGTCTAGGTTATCAGTTATCTGCATTTTCAAACCTCATCTTAGTTTAGGCAGGGCTGTGATTTAGCCACACAATATAAAGAAATGAGAGGGGTATTGAGGATACATATTAATAGAGTAATATAATTATTGACAATGGAGTTTAAACTAGATTAGGAAGGAAAAGAGATCCTGGGATGGGATGAGGCTGGTAAAAATAATGGATTGATGCTCATGCTGGGATTGAAAGATTGTTCTAAAGCCATGCTGCTGGATGCTAGGTAGTGTAAATGGAGTAGAGCATTGAAGTTGAGAATGGAGAGGACAATAAATATTATATATAGGAATAATGACGAGGCTCTCTATTCCTGTAAAGAGTTACAGGATCTAAAATCCGCAGGAGCAGCTGTCTCCTGTGCTATAGGGTCACAAGGAGCTGGAATTGACTATATGGCAGAAGAAGAAGAAGAAGAAGAAGAGAGAGAGAAAGAGAGAGAGAGAGAGAGAGAGACTGACTCATGTGCTTACCTTTACAACATTTTTTAAAGATAATTTCATTGGGGGCTCTTACAGCTCTCATAATAACCCATGCATCAATTGTATCGAGCATATTTGTACATATGTTGCCATCACAATTTTCTAAACATTTACTTTTTATCTGAGCCCTTGGTATCAGCTCCCCCCACTCTTGTGAGCCACTTGATAGATTATAAATTATTATTATTTTCATTATGTTCTTGTCTTAGTCCACATAACATATGATATGAAAACAAAGTAACATTCTTTTTGCAGAGTTCCTTATGCATTACCATTTATTCACAGAATTTGCTTATCCAAATTACATAAACACATTTCAATTTTTAAAAGTCCAATATTGAAAGTAATAAAAAACTATATAGGACTGATAAATGACATTAAAGAATGACCTTTCAGTTAAACAGAAATACAACTTCAGACATTCTCTTAAAGACTCAGCCTCAATATATTAACCTGTTTACTGGACATTTCATAATATGAAAACATACATTTTCAGCAGAGAAATAAAAATACAATGGTTAGTAACATAAGAGCAAGAGATGATCAGACAAAAATTAAGATAAGCTCCATTGAAACCATACTAAACCAGCAGAAAAATAAGATTTGTTTAATAAAAATAAATGTAAATCCAAGATGATTTCCTTCAAATTTTTGCTAGTATGGAAGTACTAAATTAATTCTTATCAATAAAAAAATTCCAGGGCAATGTTCTTACCTCAGGTCCCCAAGCCTTGTGTAATGGGAGGTGCTTATTAAGCTCAATCATTGAGTTCCATGTTTGTGCTTCATTTAAACATCCACCCTGCCAAAAGATTGCATTTACATGAATGTACAAAAACTTTGCATATCAATTTATTCATAAGTATTTATTATCTTTTAATGCCATTGAAAACTATATACCTTTAATTTTTTAATTATTTAAACCTTTGCTGGTATATAGATGAACAATTGATTTTTATATTGAGAGAACATCTTAAATTCACTTACGGATTCTAATTGTTCATATGGGCAATCATGTCACCTATGAATATGACAACTACGCTTCTTTTCAATCCTTACACCTCTAATTTATTTTAATTTATTATTGTTTTGCCACTCATAAAGATTTCTCAGAACAGTGTCGTAAAGAAGTGATAACAGGCATCCTTATTTCAGAGAGAAGGCTTTCCCATTCCTGCCATTAAATATATTTGTTATATTAAAAAAATTGTGTTTTACTAGAATATGGACTTCTTATACATTTCTAAATTTATTATTAATATGTGTCAAATTTTCATCAATGGTTACAACATTTTTACTTATTTTCTCCTTTATTCTGATATCATGGAGAATTCCTTTGATTGAGTTTTAAATAATATTCCAACCACTCACTCATGCAATAAACACAATTCAGTCTGGTTGCATTATTCTTTAATATATTGCCAGACTTGATTTGCTCATATTTTGTTTATGTAATTTGTTTATGTTCAAGAGTGAGATTGATTCACAAGTGTCTTTTCTTTTAAGTTCCACATTAAGTGTTTGGAGGTCTTGTGGTGTAGTGGTTACTCATTGGGCTGCTAACTGCAAGGTCAGCAGTTTGAAACCACCAGCAGCTCCATGGGAAAAAGACTGGGGCTTTCTACTCGCATATGAGTCCCCCTCATTCTCTGGAAGGGTGTTGTATAAAGTTGAATGAAATTTTTCCTTAAAAGCTTGGGAGACTTCATCAGGAGAGCCAGCTGGCCTTGGAGTTTTTTCTTTTGTGGGTTTGGTCGCATTTTAAAGGCCCTTGTACCTTTGTCCAATTGGTCATGTCCAAGATGTTGGCATTCATTTATTTAACCCAACCTGTATTAGGGGAGCCCTGGTGGCCCAGTGGTTATGCATTGAGCCATTACCCACAAGGTCAGCAGTTTGAAACCACCAGCCCTGCTCTGTAGGGGAAAGATGGTTTTCTACTCCCATGAAGAGTTAGTCTCTGAAACCCATAAAAGCAGTTCTCCCCTTTTTAAAAAGGTTGCTATGAGTCAGGAGCCACTTGAGGGAAGGGCACTTTTAGTGAACCTCGATGATCATTTTGGTGTTTGTAGGCTCTTTCGTGAGATTCTCATTAACCTTTCTGATATTGATTATTAATACACCTTTATTTTTCTTCATCAGTCAGTTTCTGAGGATGTAAATCTACTCAAGCAGTGGGCTTCAACTTTTGCCCAGGAGTGGCTGGTGTGTTCCACCTGCTGACCTTGCCATCGAGGTACATAAGCCTGTCAACCTAACCCCGCCCTTGAACCCTCGGCCCTTTATGATCACACATGTTGGTGTGTTGCTTCCATGTGGGCTTTGTTGCTTCTGGGCTAGATGGTCGCTTGTTTACTTTCAAGCCTTTAAGACTCCAGACGCTATAGCTCTTGATAGATAGCCAGGCACCATCAGCCTTCTTCACCACACTTACTTATGCATACATGCATCTTCAGCGTTTATGTGGGGAAGGTGATCACACAATCATAATTTTCTGTTTTAAAATGGCTAATGCCAACCCATTTCAACTCACTGATGCCTGGACTGTCTATATTTAGGCGTCCCATTTCATTTTCCCCCTATAGATTTTTTCAATATTGAATTTTTTTTTCAGTTCTTTCAGCTTGAAAATGTTAGGCCTGTTCCTCCCTGTTTGTTTTCTAACTCCATGTCATTGTATATTTCATTATATTTATTTAGTTTTCTTGATCTACCCATTAAAACATTCTATTCAACTCTTTTACTTCATTATTTATTCCAGTCATTTTAGCTTCTCTACATTTCAGAACCAGTTTCAGTCTCTTCTGACTTTTTATAAGTCAGATTTCTCTTTTACTATCTTAAATATGTAACACAATTTTCTCCTGGTATAAAGAATTTTACTTCTTGGAGAATCAAGGTCTAAGAAATATGAGAAATTTACTCTGGAATGAATTATCCCTGGCTTGGTTTGAGGATGAAATCTCTGAGGGATATTGGGAGTCAAAGCTGGTAACAGCTAGAAAGACTGCAAAAAGGGAGTGCCTATAGGGCAGCCAGTCCTACATAGAGGATACAAAAGTGCTGTGGGAGTGGCGAGGCCTTGCAAACAGAACAGGTAGAGTAAGGGAAATCCATGAAGAAGGCTGGAATTGGCCATTCAGAGAGGATGGAGGAAAAGCAGGAGAATGTGGTGACCTTGAAGCCAAGGGAAGAAAGTGTGATGGTCCACATGGTCAAATGATGCAACGAAGTCAAGTGTGTGATTTAGAAATTGTGATAAATGTCCTTCACCCAAAGACGGCCCTGTAAGTAATCAAACAACATTAAATACAGCTTGGAAAAAGAGAAAACGCTCACCCATAATAGCATCATCATATTATAAATATTCCCTTATTTTTCTGATTCTTTTCTACTGGTTTCTTTTTACATATGTGAAATTTAGAATAAAATATAAAAGAGATGTATTTTTTCCCTACCCACAACTGCTTGGTTTTATCTTCCATAAGCAATTCACATACAGATTTAAAATAGAAAGTCATGTCTGATCAAGTATTTGAAAATGTTAACTATGTCATACCTTCTTCATAGTCGTATTATAGGCATAATCATTTCTTCCATGTATCTCCCACACTATAAAATTTACTTTAATATCTTCAATAAATCCATTTCGATCAAACCTGAAGTAGCAAACACATAAATCATTGCTTAGTATATGATACAAGTTTAAGAACTCTAGTTTTTCAATCAGAAGACTTTAAGTTCAATCCTGTCTTCTACATCCCCCACTACTCCATCAGTCTGCTGTCCTATGGTGGCACGAAAGTGGCTGTGATCCTGCAATTGGTGATACTGGTATTTCAAATACCAGCTGGGTCGCCCATGCAGAATAGGTTTCATGAGAGCTTCCATCCTAAGACAGACAAGGAAAAAAAAAAAGACCTGGCAATTCAGTTCTAAACAAAGGGAGTCCAGTGAAAGTCTGAGGACGGCCAGAGGACACTGTCTGATGTAGCTCCCGAAGCCTGTTGGGCTGGAAGACACTGCATAGGCCTGGGAGAGTTGCTTCAATGCAGAGTTGACCCTAATGGTGTGGATGGACTAAAGCTCTGAGGATCTTTATTTATTAATGTGGCATGACTTCAAATGAGAAGAAACAGCTGCAGAGATCCATTCATAGTCAGAGTCTGGAATATAGTATGAATCTAGGAAAACTGGAAGCTGTCAAACATGCAATGGGATACTTGAAAATAAATATCCTAATCATTAATGCAAGAAATGAACGGATTTTGGCCATTTTGAATCAGAAAAAAGTATGGCCTATTATGGTGGCAGTGAGAAAGTCAAGAGGAACTCCTTTGATTTCATTTTCAAAATGAAATTTCAAGACATATTCTGAAATTCAATGGTACCAGGGATAGTATATTACCCAGAAGCCCACAAGGAAGATATGTCAATATGTCGATTTTTCACATTTACTCACCAATCACTAAAGCCAAGGATGAAGAAATTGAAGATTTATTTGATCAACTCTCCAGTCCGAAATTGATCAAGATGAACTGATTAATCCTAATGACTGAAGTGCAAAAACTGGAAACAAAGAAGTTGGATAGGCTGGCCTTGGTGATAGAAAGCAGGAGATCCCAAGACAGAATTTTGCAAAACCAACAACTTATTCCTTGAAAATATCTTTTCAGTAATGTTAACAAACTGAGTGTACACGTGGCCCTCACTAGATGGAGCACACAGGAATCAAAGAAATGATTGAGAAACTCGCTGTCAGGCAGAACAAGGCCAGGGACTGAAGGTGCTATCAATTGCTTGTATGGAAGCGCACGTTAAAGCTGAAGGAAACAAAAACAATTCACCAGAGCCACACTGTGACCTGGATTTATCCCTCATGGATTTAAGGAACATCTCAAGAATAGATATAGCTCAAAGAAGCTAAAAAGCCTTTAAAAACAAGGATCAACTTAGAACCTCCTCCTAGGGGGATGATAACAGAAAAGTGGGTGAGGGGTGATGAAGGATGCTGTAAGATATGGGAAAAATAATCTATAACTGATCAAGGGTTCATGAGGGAGTGCAGGTGGGGGAGGGAGGGGAAGAAATGGGGAGTGGATATCAGGGGCTCAAGTGGGAAGAGAATCTTTGAAAACGATGATGGTGGCATATGTGCAAATGTGCTTGACACACTTGATGAATGTATGATTGTGATAAGACATGTAAGAGCCCCTGATAAAAGTATTAAAAAATGAAAAGCTATTTTTAAGATATACCAAAAGGCAAATAAATTAGGACAGTTCAAAGAACAAAAGACAGCAGAGAAAGAAAAGGCCAAAAAGCGCACAAGAAGAGACTCTGGATTTTCCCTCGAATGCAGGCTAGCAAACTCAAGTGGAAGTTATAATAAAGTGAAAAAGACGAACAAAGCATCTCAAAGGACAATTCGAAAACACAAAAAGTATTATGAGATGTGTACATACCTGAAGCTGAAAACTCAAAAGCGAAGAACACACTTAGCATTTCTCAAGTTGATGGAGACTAAAAAAGTTGTAAGAATGAAGGGTTCTATGGGCGAAATGTTGGACTATGCAGAAAGCGTCAAAAAAAGGTGTCACTATACACAAAATAAACTCAATCTATGTCAAGAGGTAGCATATGATCAAGAATCTATCATATTGAAGGAAGAAGTCCAAGTTGCACTGATGGCAATAGTGAAAAAACAAGATATAAAGATTGACAGAGGAACTATATGTGACCTCCTCCTTGGGGGACAGACAACAGAAAAGTGGGTGAAGGGAGACATCGGACAGGGCAAGATATGACAAAATAACAATTTATAAACTATCAAGGGCTCATGAGGGAGGGGGGAGGGGGGAAAATGAGGACCTCATGCCAGGGGCTTAAGCGGAGAGAAAATGTTGTGAGAATGATGAGGGCAATGAATGTACAAATGCGCTTTACACAATTGATGTATGTATGGATTGTATAAGAGTTGTATGAGCCCCTAATAAAACGATTAAAAAAAGATTGACAGAATACCAATGGACCTGTGTCAACACTGTGCCTGCACACTTGTCTGTGTCAAGAAAGTTGGAGGGCAGGACTGGCCAATGGACTGGAAGAGATCCGTATTTGTGCCCATCTCCCAAAAGGGGACTCAACAGAATGGAGAAATAAACAGTATCACTAATAATGCATTCAAGCAATTTTTTTCTGAAGACAATTCAAATACGGTTGCAGCAGTACATCAACAGAAACTACCAGAAATTTAAGCCAGTTTCAGAAAAGGACCCGAGACAAAGGATTTTCTTGCTAACGGGAGTCAATCAACATTTAGTGGCTACCCTCACAGGACAGGGGGTTCAAACATAGGCACCAACGTGAGGATGGAGCAGGACCAGGCAGGGCTTCATTCTCCTGCGCACAGGGTCACCATGAATGGAGCCGACTAGGAGACCCCTAACAACAACAAAGGAGCAAGAACGTTTTCTCTGCTTCCTAAAGATGTGCAGCCTCAGAAACCTATGTAGCAGCTGTGAGGAACCTTATTCTTAATGCCAGGGCCATTTTTATATTTAAAAGATCATTCACAAGACAAACAAACAACATTACCAGCTTAAAATTAGCCTTTTATATGTTGTCAAACATTCAATTAACTAACCTCTATTGTGAATTGGTTTTCTTTGGTGAGGTGTGCGATGCTAGCTGGTAGTGATACCAATAGCAGCCCATGGTATTAATACCAGACCTTAGACAGTTGGCGGTTCTCCATTCCTGCTCTATGGGGTTCATATAAATTGGAATCCACTTGATAGCAGTGGGTTTGGTTTTCAGGTTTATTGTATATCAAAGGAACTCTGTGGGTTTTATATTGGATTACAAGTTAAAAGGTTGACAGTTCAAACCCATCAGCCTATCCATAAGAGAAAGATGAGGCTATCAGTTCCAAGATTTACAGCGCTGGAAGTCTGCACAGGGTTGCTATGAGTCTGAATAAACTTGAGGGCAATGGGTCTGGTTTTTTGTTTGTTTGTTTTGTTTTTTTTAGTTTTATGAATCAAAGGACACCTGGTGGTGTAATGGTAGTGCTTGCCTGCTAATCAAAAGGTTTGCAGTTCAATTCCATCCAGTGACTCCTCAGGAGAAACACCTGGCAATCTGCTTCCACAAAGGTTACAACATAAAAAACACTATAGATGAGTCTCTGTTCCTTGGGGTCACTATGAGTCAACTCAACAACACTTCCACAACAACATTATGTACCCAGGTGTCTGGGTGGTGCAAACAGTTTAGGCTTGACTAACCCAAAGGGTTGCAGTTTGAGCCCACCCAGCAGTGCCATGGAAGAAAGGGCTGGTGATCCGCCTTCAAAAAGACTAAAGCCAAGAAACCCCTAAGAAGCACTTTTACTCTGTAACACATGGGATTGCTCTGAGATGGAATCAACTAGACAACAGTGGGGCTGGATTATTGTGTACAGAGACTTCCACTCTACAATTCTGCTGAGCCTTGAGATGATGCAGATCTGCCAGGAAAGGGCAGGTGGGAGAAGAGACTGAGTCTCAGAGGAGCTGCAAACATTGAGGAGGTTGAGAAGCAGAAGTCTCTGGGTTCTCTGGAGCAATAGCCGTGCATAGTCCTTGCTCAGAGAACAGGTGGTGACGGATACCAAGAGCAAGCACCAGCTGGAAATCCGACACAGACAAGATGCCGGCCTTGATACATGAGCTTAGACTATTTACTCAAATGTAGCACATCTAAATAGAGATGTTGCTTCAAGCTATTGAGATTATTTTTGCGGTTGTTACACTCTGGAAAGAGGAGCTTGAGGGCAAAGCTAAATTCACTTGTTGGAAAAGCCACAGCTTTGCATACGAGAGCTTGGGACTGAAGAATAGGTTACCTGCCTTCCATTTCCATCTTATTTTCCACATTTCTGAATAGAATTGACCCTCTGGGATGGAAATTCCATTCAGCACTCTGGTCTCAGGTACTCTCTCTGGGCTGTGGACTCTTGGGGTGTTTCTCTAGTTTCTGATATTCCATCTCAAGGTCTATTTGTTAGTAAATGAGAGAGAGAGAGAGAGAGAGAGAGAGAGAGAAATCCTTGACCGCATCCAAACCCAATCTGCCGAGTTCCTTCTGTGTCGAGTAACCCTACGGTATTGTAGACGGTGTAGAACCGCCCCGCGGGATGACCAAGGTTGTGAATCTCCGTGGAAGCAGACGGCCATGTCGTTTTCCTGTGGAGCAGCTGGAGGGTTTGCAATGCTGACTTTTGGTTTAGCAGCCAGGCACCTTAACCACTGCACCACCAGGGGTCCTTCTTGACAGCATTGCCTTATTTGCTGCCCAGATCTCCGCCTGACCTCACAGCCATTGTTTCTGTCTGGCCAGGCAGGACACACAACTTGCTGCTTAGGAAAAGCAGTCTGGGCCCTATTCTCACAAATGAGGCAGAAAAATGTTAAGGGTCAGAGAGTGGTATCCGAGAAGCTATTTACTTCCTGTCTTCAACAGTTTTTAGAAACCATAAGGAGATTTTCAAACATCTTTCTAAAGGTGAGCTCCCGAATCGGCATGACTGCGTGGGGATTGTTGTACTTGAAGGCCCCTGGTGGCACCAACAGTTTGCGGTTGTTGGCAGTGCTAAAGGAAGGCGTGGCAATCTACT